TGGGGTGGGGTGGGGGGTGGGGTAGGATGGGGGGATACTGAGGCCTCCGGAAGTGGGAATTGAATCTGAGACTTGAGCACAGAGCCGTCTCACCTGCTCTGCGCCAGGCCGGCACCCTCAGGGTGAACTCAACCAAGCTGGGTGCGGGAGAGACTTCTGGCAAAGCGAGGAAGGGCCCCGAATTCGCCCCGCCTCCCCTCTGCGCCTCCAGCCACCAGGGGGCGCCGTTGGCTAACGTCTGCCCCCAGCTACAGTGACTTGAGCCCTCAGGCCACAGGACCTCTCCGCTCCTGTTTCCCCATCCGTGAGATGGGCACGGTACTAATTATGGGTGATAGAGTTTATTTAAACCCAGAGAATGCCCCATATTTCTAAGATATTTCAGGGAGGTCACAAACACCACCCTCCAACCAAAGTTTACCCAAGTACTAAGTATCGGGCCATGGAGGGGAAACTGAGGCCCAGAAGGGGCTGTGACTCGCAAGAAAGCATCAGAGGCCTCCTTTTCCCTACGGGGAATCTGAGACAGCCTCAGAATCAGAAGATCGAGAGATCTTCCGTGGGGGAGAAGTCTGTGCTTTTGTTGCTGTTCTAGAGAGGGAGAAAGTATAAGGGAGCCAGCAGGGGGTCCTGGGACCAGGGAGAACTAGGATCCTTAGACCTGAAGACAGAAACCACAGCAACTTAAAGCAACAGCCAGTGCACAAGCAATGAAGGCTAAATCAGTCTTCAGAGACAGTTCCTGACACACAGCCCTCTCTTTCATGGCCCCTATCACCACCCCCCACCAGAGCTCCAGAGCCAGAACTGGGTCTGGATGAAGCTTTGGTGCTGAGAATTCTCCCATTCAAGTTCTTGTTCTCTTGTAATGAGCTGCCTTGCAGATGAAGGGGAGGTGTCTAGGGGAGGGGGCATCTCCTTGAGGCTGACTCCCCACCTCCTTGTGCAGGGCTAACCCAGAGGCACATAAGAGGCACAGGCCTGGCACACAGTAGGTTCCCAGTAAATATCAGATAAAGAATGAAAGAATAAAGTGATTGACGTGGCTGAAGAGTGACCACTGGAGAAGATGCACAAGGGGCCTGGCAGATACTCCCTTTCTACACCAGGGGTTGAAGTCCGGGAGGGAGAACTCAAGGGCCCTGGAAGAGGCTGCCCCCAGCCCAGCTCCTTCGAGAGCTCTCTCAGCTGAGCTCAGGGTCAGAATGGATCCCGCCAGGTGCCTCCAATTCAACCCTGAGACTTGTCTGTAGCTAAAAGCCTGATTGTCTCCCTCAGTGGGTGGGGAAGGCAAAGCAGGGGCCACCTGGGACCTCTTCCTGGAAAGTCCACACACCCATCAGGGGCCACTAGGTGCCCAAAGGCTCAGCCATCACATTGCCCTCATGGTTCACACAGGGCTTGCCCACGGTCCTCTGGTTGTCCAGGTATAGGGCCCCAGGGTCTGGGCTGGCCTCAGGGGACAGGAGCTCAGTGTCAGGTGACTCTGAGGCCTCCCCACCCAGTGCTCCCTCCTCCTCTCCCTCCTCCTCTTCTGCCTCCTGTAGAGTCAGCTGAAACTGGAATCGGTCGGGACCACCCTGCTTGGGGCTGGTGGGGTCCACAGGGCTGCGGGGGATCTTGCTCTGGTACCACTCGCGGTTGTCCTCCAGAGTGTCCAGCAGGTCCTGTGCATCTGGGTGTACCAGGTCAGCCCACGTCTCCCACAGTGGGTGGGCGATGTAGTCAATGAAACCCACCTGTGGGGTGATACAGGTTGGGGGATAGAGGATAGGGGATAGAGGTTGCTGGACGGTGAGTTACCATGGAACCTAGACCCAGTCCAGCCCCCAGACCTTTGCCCAAGTTGTTCCCTCTGCCTGGAATGCCATTTCCCAACTCCTACACATCCTTCGAAACCCTCTTCAAATAACCCCTCCTCTTGGAAGACTCCTCTGCCCCTTTTGAGCTCCCCCAACCCCTAAGTATTTCCCTCTACCTCAGCTCTGACTCCTCAGAGCTGGATGAATGTGTCCCCCAGACTGGGAGCACCTCAAGAATCTCCTATGTCACTCAGAACAGATACTTCCAAACTCCACAAGTGAGTGAAGATCTCTCTTCCGGCAGCCCAGAGGAAATACATACCAGGCCTGACTCTGCACAGCCCAGTGCAGACCCTTAGGCCACATCCCCTCATTTGCCAGCCAGGGGTCAAGCCAGGATTTGTGGGGTCAGCTCAGCCACTCCTTTCCCTCCCACCTCCCCAGTGCCCACCAGCTCGGCTCAGTCACCCTCAGACCTGGGACTTCTCCACTGAGGCCGTGTGCTTATCGCACATAGGGCTGATGTCCAGGCCTGATTCGCGCTCACGGTCGCCCTGCTGGAAGAACTCAGCCATGATGCGGTCTGTCCACTGGCGGTAGAGCGGCAGCGGCTTGGTGGGGTTGCTGAGGTCGGCACAGTGCACCAGGCTCTGCAAGACCTGGTGAGATCGAGGCTCGGGAGGGCTCAGGCCAGACCACCCCAGGCCTGGTACCCGCCCCAGAGGCTGGCGCCCTGGACATACCCATCTTACAGGTGGGGAAACTGAGGCTGGGCAGGGGAAAGGGTGGCTAAGGCACAGCCACGTGACCGTATGTGCCTCCATTTCTTCAAGTTGGGCACGCAGTTGGCACTTCATAAATGCAGTTGAATGAGAGTGTGGAAACCAAGACCTTAGCGCTGGCCCAGCCACACACCTGGATGTGGTCGGAGTAGTTGTCTAGCAGCAAGACTCCAAGGCTTGTCACCTTCTTGGTCTCCACCATGGTCTTGAGGTCAGCCAGGATGTTCATGTGTTTGGACATGTCTGTGGCCAGCACCTGGGGGAAGGTGAAGGAGGATGGCAGGTATGAGGATAGCGCCTGCCCCACCCCCACTCCCCACTTCCCAGATGCCACACCCACTTGGATCCACAGCCCTCTGAGCCTCAGTGTCTTCATCTGTCAAATGGGGGCATGTATCAAGATTTGCTGTAAACCCAGCTCACAAGAGAAGCTGAGTCAATAGTCCCTTCTCGGGCTTCCCTGGTGGCGCAGTGGTTGAGAGTCCACCTGCCGACGCAGGGGACACGGGTTCGTGCCCCGGTCCGGGAAGATCCCCCATGCCACGGAGCGGCTGGGCCCGTGAGCCATGGCCGTTGAGACTGCGTGTCTGGAGCCTGTGCTCCGCAATGGGAGAGGCCACAACAGTGAAAGGCCCGCGTACCGCAAAAAAAAAAAAAAAAAGTCCCTTCTCCAAGGTTGCTGGGCTTGTGGGGTGCATCCCACATGTGGGACAGGGCATGAGGGAGGGAGATTAGACCTGGGGGTTGACATGAAACATGCCTGAAGCCCAGCAGATGACTTGGCCAGTGCAAAGGTCCTGAGGCTGAATAAGCTGAGGAACATAGAGGAGAGAGTTGTGGCTAGAACAAACGAGCAACATGGGAGCAACATGGGAGCAAGTGAGGGTGACAAGAGTGGGGAGGGCCTCAGGGAGGAGCGGGGGATTAATCCAGAGGGCTGTGGGAGCCACAGGTGGACTGAGTGCTCCCCAAACCTTCCTGTGGCTGCTGCGTGGCCGGGAGGGCTGTTTTCAGCCACCGGAAGGGAAGTTCAGCTCTGAGCACAGCTGCTTAAAAATCATTTAGCTGGACCCATGCGGACCCAGCCCAAGAATGACCCACGGACTTCTCTGAGAATCAGACCGAAGTCTCAAAACTTCTCCCCAGGGGACTTCCCTGGTGGTCCAGCAGTTAAAACTCCATGTTCCCAATACAGTGGGTCCGGGTTCGATCCCTGGTCAGGGAACTAGATCCCTCATGCCACAACTAAGAGCCCGCATGCCACAACTAAAGATCCCGTATGCCACAACTAAAGATCCTGCATGCCGCAACAAAGATCCTGCATGCTGCAATGAAGATCCCTCGTGCGGCAACTAAGACCCAGCACAGCCAAATAAATATTAAAAAAAAAACTTCTCTCCAAACCTCCCATCTGGACCAAATGATGCTTCCACTGGGACTGCCCACTGCCCAGAGCCCCGACTCTCCCTCAGCAAACTTTTAGTTCCTATTCACATGGAGCCTGGTTTCCTCTGAGCCCTCCCCACATGCTGTTCCCTCTGCTGGGAACACTCCTCCCCACCCCATGGTCCTCTACACTCTTCAGGCCCTGACTTCAGTGTTCCCTCCTGGGGAAGCCCTCCTCAACCTTGAGCATCTCTCCATCACAGCTCTGTCTACAGGTCCCCCATCATGGCTCTGCTTGTGGGCCCCCCATCATGGCTCCCACCTATGTGTCCATCTGCCCCACAGACTGTGAGTTTCATAAAGGCCAGAATTCTAATGGTCACTGTCACAGGACAAGCACAATGGATGCTCGATAAATGCTTGTTAAATAAATGAGTTGATGCATAAGACCCCAAAACGTACTAGTGTCTCCCAACTTGAAAAATATCAAATGCACAGACTTAAGGGTCAGAAAAGTTGCACCTGAAACCCCAGAAAGTTTCCAAATCATTTGCACGTGAATCACATCCAAGACCTGAGTAGCCTGACCAAGGGCCTAGTCACCCCTACCCAAGGCTTGGACAGTCATTGCCCCATTTTACAGACCAGGAAGCTCGGACTCAGAATGGGGACATGCCCTGGTCCAACTGAACCCCCAGCCATACCAAGATCGCCCCACCCCATCCATTGTTGTTGTCTCACCATGTCGATGACCATCCTGCGCAGACTCAGCCGCTGCTTGGTGGTGAGGTTCTGGAAGATGTCACAGTTCTCTGCCTGCAGCAGCTTGAAGCCCACAGCCAGGTGGTGGTTCTCCAGCATGGAGGTATCATTGTACATAAGTGCAAGCTCTGAGTCTGTAGGGGAGGTGGAGCACCTCAAGACCTGCCCACCCAACCCACTCCACCCAAAGGCCGGTTCTGTAAATTCTCGGTAAACTCCTACTCATGCATTGAAGCCCCAACTCCAATGCCCCCTCCTCCAGGAAGCCTTCTAGGACCCTGTCTCTCCCCATGGCCCTGCCCTGACTCTGCGGGGCTGGGGGCATCTGTGTTCAGCTCTACCTCCTCGAGACTGGTGACTCCTTGGGGACTTGGCATGGCAGGAGACAGTGCTGTGTGCTGGTTAATACCGAGTCTTTGTCTTATTAGACCCTGGGATCCTCAAGTGAGAGGGCTCCACTCTTATCTCCAGCTCTCCAGGGATGTATATAAGAGGTACCCAAAAACTGCTTGTTGACTGAGTTCTTCTGACACCACAAAGGATCCTAAACTTTAAAATCTCAGTGGGCCCAAATCAGCTCTGTCACATTTGTTATTCTCTCATTTACTATCTACTGTATATCTGGGTGTGCTCTCAGCACCTAAGGGAGGGAAGATTGTGGCAGTCATTTCACAAACAGGGAGACTCAGAGCAGGAACGGGACCACCTAACATCACTTGATTGACAGGTGGTGGCAGGGCCCAGCCCCCTAACTCACTGGTGTTAATGAGAAACTGATTGGAGACCCCAGGATGATCCACATCATGGATGGCGCTTGCAAAGATGGCAGCCAGGACTTCCAGGTCAGTGAACACGGCCTGAGTGGGCACGGAGCATAAGAGGTGAGGGGCAGGCTCTCTGTGCCCTGCACGCACCAGGGCTGCCTGCAGCTCTAGGGCCCTACCTCAAGCGCAGGTGTGGCCAGCAGCACATGTGTAGACTGGGCCACGTCAGCGGCGTGTAGGCTATTGTGGTAGGCCACATCGTTGTGGTAGTGACCCTCCAGTGTCAGTAGGTAGGTGGCAAGTGTGTCTGCTGGGATCCGAAATGTCTTGAGCAGGTCCCGTTCCTGGTGCATCACAGGGCCCCAGTCAGGGCCTCGGCCTCTGGGTGGCAGCACACACTATTCCTATGCCTTCTCTCCTTCTGAATCCCTATCCATCTCTCAAGTGCCCCCTCTTCCAGGATGCCCTCCCCGCTCTCCCTCTGAACTCCCCTGGTCTCTGTCCTTCCCCTCTGGCTCATCTCTGACCCCACAGTTGTTCCCTACAGACTGGGTCTCTTCAGGCCTGGCCCAAGGCTGAGGCTTGAGTCTTGTTGCCAATCAGCAGTGAACTTTTAAACCTAACAAATGCCTATCCATCCTTCAATGCCCTTGCTCAAATGACCCCATTCAAGGATGTTAGGGAGGATTTGAAGAATATGTGTTCCCTGAGGTCCTGAGGTAGGAAGGAGTGAAGGAAACACAAGGGTATTAGAAGCCAAGGGCAGGGGAGGTACCTGAAAGATGCTGAACATGATAGCTGTGAGGGGCCGGTTCCCACTTAGCTCTGCCACCTTGAACACATCAAGCCCCCACTTCTTGGTGTCTTCCAGCTCCTAAAATGTGAAGGACTGGAGCTTAACTGCAACCCAACTTCCCCAGACTCTGGAGCCTCAACCCCCATCCCCAGGACTCAGGTCCTACACTGAGCCCCACCTGGTCAGTATATAGGTGGGCAAACTGAGGCCCAAAATAGGGTAGCCACACAGAGCCAGGATTCAAACCTGGGTCTCAGCATTCCTATTGTAAACCCACCTTGGCCAGTTGTCCCTCCTGATCAGTCTGGACCCCAAAGCGTGGGACAGTGGCTGCAGAAAGGCTGGTACTGTGGGGGAGTCCACGCAGGCCGCTGATCTGGGACATGGGCCTTGGGGGCTCCGTGGGGGTCACCCTGGGCAACTCCACCTCAGTCTGCTGGTCTGTAGATGGGGCAGGGTAGGGCTCAGAGAAGTCAAATCACCTGCTAGGGTTGGCCTGCTTGGCCTCAAGTACTGGACCTTGCCAAGCCTCAAGATCAACCTATTTCCTTTTTACCTGAACCAAAGTAATCTCAGAGTAAAGTCCTTTCTGGCCTGTAGATACCCTTCTCCTCTGTTCAAGGCTGATCTCAGTGACCTCTTCTGCTGGACATGGCCCCTGGGCACCTGGAGCTTAGTATTTTTCCCAAAATAGTCAAATGTCCTTTCCGTCTCCCAAGCTGGAGACCCAGCTCTGTCGTTCCCTCTATCTCCTCCTTGGCAAACTTCTACTCATGCTTCAAAACCCTAACTTTAATGTCCCCCTCCTCCTGGAAGATCCTCCTGTCCCTCCCTCTGGTCCAGCCCTGCCTCATGGGGCTGGGGGTGTCCGTGTCTGGTTCTATCTTCCTCAGTTGAGGTCTGTAGCAGAAGTCTTTCTTTCCCTTCCCTCTTCCTACCTCTGTAATGTGGCCTAGTCAGTGACCCACCATAGCTCACCCAGGAAGGTTCGGGATATGTACTCAGACACTTGGTTCCCAGAGCTGCTGGCTTCAGACAGGTGAGTCAACTCCCGGTTCAGCATCCACTTGAACTGCAGGGGAAGGTGATGTCAGTGATGATGGGGGCACTGTGGACATAGGCAAGTGATCTCAGTTATCTGGCCCTACTAACCTTGTTGGAGGCCATCTCCCCCACCGAGTGCCGCGCCTGCAGTGTCTCCAGCTGATCCAAACACCAATCCAGCTCTTCCAGTGTCTCCAAAGCCACCTTCTGCCCAGTGTCGTCTGGGGGCCAAGCTGGTCAGGGGCCTGCCCCACCCCTACTTGGGAACCCTGTGCCCCTCCTGCTCCCATCTCTGCATCTGGACCCTGGATCCCTTCCCAATGAGAATGACGCCACTCAGGACCCCAGGATCTCCGCATCCCCAAGGGTTTTTGGGCAGGGGGGTAGCGGGGTGGGTTGGGGGAGGTTTACAATTAGCACAGCCCAAGGATTCATGGGCTGGGGAGGTCCCCATAGAGAGGAAGTTCACAGCTGTCCCACAGTGGAAGGAGGGGATAGGAGCAGGCACATTACCTGTTGGTGGAAGGGGCTGACTGCCAGATGGGGTGTTCCCGACGCATGCCTGCCTGCAGTACAATCGGCTCAGGAGCGGCCTGCCCCACCCATAGGGCCCCGCCCTCCAAGACCTCCTGGCCCCGGCACCTCCTCCTCTTCCCCCGATCCCCGAATTGCCAGCCGCGCCCTTTCCGCCCGTGCCCCGCCTCTGCTTCGCCCACCTCGTCTTCTGATCCCGCCCCTCTCCACCAGGCCCTGCCCTTCTCTCCGCAAGGCCCCGCCCCAGCCCCGCCCCCTGCATACTTGGCTGCCCCGCGGCCTTGCAGGTGGGCAAGGGCCGCAACGTTGCTCCGAACCGTCCTCAGACTGGCCAGGACCTGCGAGGGGGGGTGGCCAGCGTTGGGAAGGAGGGGTCGGCTCTACCTGCCCGGCACACGGGAGAAAGGAGAGGTGGGTACCCACCTGGGCAAAGGGTGTCACAATCACGTCTTCTCCGTGTCTGCGGGGAGACCAGACATGGAAGGGCGGTCAGAAGGAGCCCTCCCACACGTTCCCATCTTCCAGTTTTTTCTGGGTTTTTTTTTTGTTTGTTTGTTTGTTTTCCTTTTTTGCGCCACGCGGCATGCGGGATCTTAGTTATTGAACCCGTGCCCCCTGCAGTGGAAGCGCGGAGTCTTAAGCACTGGACCACCAGGGAAGTCCCCCATCTTTCAGCTTTTACCCACACTGTGCCCTCAGCTGAGGGCATCCTCCTGTCCCGACTCCCTCCTTTGGGTGTCTTCCTAGTAGTTCCTGGACTCCCCTCACCTGACCCTTCTCTGAAAGCAGCCACAGCCCCTCTGACCAATCACTCACTTTATCCCCATCTCACAAATGGAGAATCTGAGTCCCAGGGGCAACAGGGGTCTTAGTAGAGGCAGGAAATTATTGCTCCCAGAAAGCTCAAATGAAAGTGTTGGTTCGGTTGCTGTTAATTGGCCTTAATGTCACTGGATTGCCACCCAACCCCAGCCTAAAGTGAAGCACAGAGGATCACTGGATATCATTCTCGGCATGTCCGACTGAACAAGCAAATAGGCAAACTCCTACATAAACTTTAAGGCCCACCTCAGACGGTCATTTGAAGGAGGTGTGCCGAATGGAGGAATAAAGGAAGGAAGGAAGTAGAAAGCGGTATTATCCCCCAGCCTCAGACTCACAGGTCGCTAGCCACAGAGGAGTTCCGGGACATGGTCTTGGACGAGAGTTCGTAGTCACTGTCTGAGCGGTACAGGAAGGATTCCCGCCTCTGGCTGTGCTGGGCAGGGGCTTGGATGACCCGGCCAAGGCCAGAGCCGGCCTGAGGGTCCAGGGCGCTTCTTCCGCACGATAGCCCATTTTCCAGGTCCAAGCTGAAGGAAAAGGAGTCACAGTCAGAGCCGAGGGTCCTGGCATATGGATGCTGGGTCATGGCCTCTATCAGTTTTGTCACATCCTCCCTGGGGCCACGCGGTGGGCTGGGCAGGAGTGGCCTGCAGCTTGTCCATCTGTCCCACGGTCACACCCCCACTCAGGGACACCGCGCCCCTCACGCCTCCATCTCCACCTCTGTACCCCAGAGTCTTTTCCACTGGGATTAATCTGGACTCCAGGACATGAGTTTCAGATCTGTCTCCAAGTGGCTGTTGTGACCATGGGTAGGTCTCAGCTTTTCTATGGACATCAACAATTTGTTTCTAATATGGGTGTGGTAGACTTCATCCCCAGGGTGCTTTTAGGGAGTTACAACCGAGCACCTGAGGAGAGCGACAGGGCTCCCGTATTACTAAGGAGTAAACTGAGGTCCAGGTCGCAGGGTAAGTTCATGGGGATTGGAAACGACTTCCTGGGCTTTCCTCTCTGGAGGGGACCTGGGTCCCACCTAGACGGGGCATACTCGAAGGCTCCTCACAGCCAGGAGAGGCCCCATCCCCAGCCAGCTTTGGCTACGCCCTGGACCACCTGTCCCCTTTCCCCAGCTCCAGCCCATATGGCCCAATCTCACCAACCACGCCTCCAGCTCGCTCTGGCCCTATCCTTAGCTCCCCAGTTCTTCTGCTTTATTTTTGGCCTGAACGCTCTGCCTGTTCTCTTCCACCTCTGGGCCTTTGCACAGGATGTGTCCTCTCCCCAGAGCACCATCCTCCTCCTGTTCCAGGCAATCCCCAATCGCCCCTCCCATTTCTCAGCCCCGTCTCTCCCTCCAGCTACACCCTGACGGAATAAGGGGGATCTACAACTCTCCCCCTTGGAGTCAGAGGTCAGAGAAAGAGTGGCAGGGGGCATGGGGCTAGAACAGAAGTGTGGGAGGGGGAGTTAGCAACCAGGGAGAGGGGCTGCAAGTGGGTCACAGGTTTCTGAGAAGGGAGCGGGCAGGAAAGACAGAGACAGGAAGACGCCAGGGGCCGCCCCTAGACACGCCCCTCCTGGCCGAGGGCCAGTGTCCACCTGGTCCCCCTCCAGGTCACCCCATCCCAGTCCACGGATGGGATCGGCCCCTGCCGGAAGACTCCGAACAGGGAATTCGGCTCAGACCGGGGTGGGGGTGGGGAATTCGGCAGGATTCTGTCCGGTTCAGCTGGATTCGGTCCGGCTCGGTCAAGTACGGCCCGGTTTGACTAAGCTGGGTCTGATCATACAGGATTGGACCTCTTCCCCTGAGTTCTGTCGGGTGAGTTCGGTAGAATTCGGCTACGACCGGCCGCATTCGGGTAGGTTCGGATGCGTTCGGGCGTGTTCGGCTACGTCCAGTCGCGCCAGGTTTTCGAGCAAGTCCGGGTGACACTCGGGCCAGGTCGGGCATATTCGGCTTAGTCCGGCCTCACTCGGGTGTTCGGCTGTGTCCGACCGCTCTCGGTCTGTTAGGGTTCTGGGGCTCCTGGAGAAGCCCCTCAAGTCCAGCGCTTCTGAATTCCCGCTTCGTGACGTCACCCGGAGGGGCGGGACTTCTTAGCTCTTACCCGGCCTCCGAGTGTGCCGGGTGACCGGGGGAGAGACACTCTTGGGGGCGGGCTAGTGGCGGTGGATACCCTAAACCTGTGCTCAGAGGGGGAGGCCTGGGAGTGGCTACCACCTACCCCTCCCTCTCATCTCCCCAAAAGTTCTGGCAAAAGCACACCTATGGATGAATAGGGAAACTGAGGCCGGGAGAGGCCACAGCGTGCTGGGTTCGAATCCAAGTAGCGAGCACGGAGAGTTAAGAGCTGAGCCGGGGTTTTGTCGCTACGGGGGAAGTTGTTTTTCTTTCTGCTCTAAACTTAGCCGAGAGCTGCTGGGTCAGGCCGTGGTTCCATGACGCGGGCAGCGGGGAGGAGCTCGCACCGACTGTGGGGACGGCGCGTCTGTCCATCTGTTAGACAGGTAAATGAAGCACAGGGGCCTCGGAGAGACCTGCCCTCGCCCAGCCTCACGCCCTTGACGTCCTCGACGTCCCTGTGCTCACTCCGGAGCCCTTGGCGGGGACTACTCTTCGCAAGCTTCTGGTGCCCTGGGGGCGCTCTCCCGGACCCGGGACCCCAGTCTCGGCCTGAAATGGCCCATCAGGGACCACCGTCACAACTGCCCCCCTCTCCACCAGCTGCCACTGGCCGTGTGACCTTGGAGAAGGGACGTTTGGTCTCTGAGCCGCAAGATGCCAAATTACCAAGTGAGAAAACCGCACGAGCCAAGCGCTAGGTATGAGACCCAGTCGGCGCCCACCAGCCCCACCTCCAACCCCAGCCTCTGCCCTGCGACCCCCGATGTGACAGTCGCTTCCTGAAGGGCCGGAATTCGAACCTAAAGCGGTGGAACGAGTCCTTGGAGAACGCAACCGAGCGGGGCTGCGCAGAGGCGGCGCTCTGCGCGGGTGCGCAACAAGCTCTCTTACACCGCGAACACCCTGCCTCAAAGGCCTCCATCAAATCACTTCTTCCTCCGCGGAGATCGAGGGCTTAGTGTGAGGCCACCAGGCCATCCCGCTGCTGGCGCCAGAACGGATGGCGGGGGCAGACCAAGGGGAGGAGTGACCCTCTTCCCTCCACCTCCAGGACTCTCAGCCCTCCTGCCCCGGGTTGGCGAGGGTCAGAAGGAGACGTGAGCCTCAGCCCGTCCTGCTCCAGGCCGCACAGCTGGAGAGGGACAGACGGCTGGTCCCCTGGGCGTGTGTCCAGGCGGTGGGTGGAGGGAAACAGAGATGGAGAGAGACAGTCATCAACTAAAAGAGACAGAGATAGGACAGAGGGAGAGAGATACCGAGAAAGGGCAAAGAGGCAGAGCCTTTATGCCCTGACCCCCAACCTGGCTGTCCTTGACTCTGCCCTTCCCACCTCCAGCCCGGCGGTTCCCATGAGCCCTGCGAGGCCCACTGTCTCGCCTCACCACAGCGGATGGGCCACGGTGAAGCGCCGCTGCAGGCGGATGCTCTGGTTCACCAGGAGCTTCCTGAAGAGCCCGGGGGAGCCGCGCGGGGAGCCCCGGGGGGAGCTGGGCCCAGGGGCCGGGGCGGGCGCAGGGGGACCCTGCATCGCCAAGACCGCGTGGAGGCTGGACGGAGTACAGGCTGCGCGGGACCTTTTCTGGACAACCACGGGGGCGGGGCCCGGCGGGGAGAGGGCAGGAGGCGCACCCGCCCCGCCTTCCCCGCAGGACCGCTCAGGCACGCCCTCACTGGAACAAATGGGGAAACCGAGGCACTGAGCTAGATGGGACACTCTCTGCTTCCCCTTTGGGGGATCCCAGAAACCGCATCTTATACCACTTCCCTCTGCCACCAGGTCCCCCAGTAGCGGAGCTTGCTCAGCTGATAACTCGGCTGAAAAGAGATACAGAAGTCAAAAAAGGAAGTGCTCTCCGTTATCAGGGAGTCACCGAGACACAGAGTTTGCCGAGGGGCTGCCCAGATCCCACACAGTGCTTGCAATACCCCTCTACCCATTTTCCAGATGGAGAAACTGAGGACTGAGCCACCAAGGGGCTGCTCAGAAACTACAAACCCTTAATCCTTTGTCAGGTGGGGAACTAAGGCTTGGAGAAAAGTGGTAACAGACGCAAGTCTTCACTGAAAGGCAGCTCCCCCTCTTCCTGTCCCCCTCCACAAGTCCCCACATGACCTCCACCTGCTCTGACATTCCCCAGGCCCTGTCTCTGGATCGTTTCCCCTCTCCTGCTGTCTCTACTGGACAAACATCCGCACTCCACTCCTGCCAGGCCTTCCGGTCCTGTGAAGCTTCAGCTGCCACCGCCCACCCCAGGAAGGACCCTTGGAAAGGGAAGTCTTGCCCCTGGTATCAGGGGGGCTGTTCAGGGGTCTGTACCAGCTGGCCTACCCTCAGAATGCTGGGGTTGGGTGGTCTTGCCCCATTCTTCAGAAAAGGAAACCAAGTCTTGGAGAATGTCACACTTGGAGACAAGACCCGGAACACCCACCCCTCAGGCAGAAGCAACCAAGGCCCAGGGAGGCTCTCAGGCAGAAGCAACCAAGGCCCACCTGAGGCCACACAGAAGCTATGGGCCTGACTGTGTCCTGCTGTGGGATAACAAGCCCCCTGCCTGGGCCTTGCCCCAGGGGACTGCACTAGTTTTGGGAGTCCCAGACAAATGCCACCCAGGTTTCTGGCAATCCTGGGGGGATGTGAGATACTATTTCGGGAGATCAGGGCTTCAGTGGTGAGACCCTGACCCTCCCCTGACATCTCAATCATACTATGGTCCCCGTTGTATAGATGAGAAAATGGAGGCTCACAGAGGAGTCACACTGGGGCTCAGGAGGACAGAGAGTCTCAAGGGTCTGGCTGCGAACCCCCTTCTGTTCCTGTGGCCCTGCAACCGGACACCTGGTGGGAATCAGACTCTCTGTCCCCAAGACAAAAATACCATCTGTAGCTGCTGTGGCTATACCTAATTATAGCTTGTCCCCAGGGGATAGAGGCCGCCAGGATCAGTCTAGTGGAGAGACTGGGGCTGGGTCCAAGGAGCCTTGACACCACCTCAGCCCCATGGGGGAGACTCACAGTGTTCTCATATCCCCAAGGAGAGACTGAGACACAGAGAGATGCAGTCCTTCTCCTGAATTCACAAACATAAAATGGAAGGTTAAGGCTAAACACATGGGTACGAACTGAGCACTCCTTGCTCTCCCGGTGCTGAGCCAAGGGCTGTGCATGTAAAAGTCATTTTATTTTCAGAGCAACTCTATAAAGCGAGGACTATTATTCCCATTTTGTGGATGGGGAAACCGAGGCACAGAGAGGTGTGCTCATTGCCTGAGGTCATTCAAGCCTAGGTTGGCAGCCTCCCCAGCCTCTCCCAATGGCTCCATCTCCTCTGCAGTCCCAGGTGCTACTCTGACATTAATGCTTTATCAGTAGTTTTAATATTAAAGTTTCATCAATAGATTCAACTTTAAATACTTTATAACCAGTTTTAACGGTAATGCATTATCAATAGCTTTTTGGATGGAGAAACTGAGCCACACAGCCAAGATTCAGCATTCAAAACCTGGCCTGCCTGACCCTGGGAGATGACCCCAAGCTTCGCCCAGGAAGCGGCAGAGGCCAAAGGAGGAGTTGACATGACTTTGTCTCACCCTAACTTTGTCCCTGCATGCTATGTGACCTGAGGAGGTGCCCAGCAGTCTCTAGTGCCCTTAACACTTCGGTGTCTCAATTTCCCCTATTTGAGCCTCTTCCCTGGGCAAGCACTTGTCTCTTCTGCCACCAGGTGGCGCCCGTGAGCCAGGAGGTGGGTGCTGTAACACCCCTTTTATGGACAAGTATACCGGGGTCTGGAGAGGAGAGATGACTTGCCCAAGTCCGCCTGAAGAATCTAGTTATCTCTTTTTGTTTTTCTAATAAAAAAAAAGTTTTGGCCACACTCCAGGGCATGTGGGATCTTAGTTTCCTGACCACATATCAAACCCGCACCTCCTGCATTGGAAGCGCGGAGTCTTAACCACTGGACAACCAGGAAAGTCTCCCTTTGAAGAATGTAGATAGAGAGAGGAGGTTGGAGGCTGAGTCACATGTGCAGATGATCACATGGGTCAGATCTCACCCTCCTCTGCTCCAGATCCTCCTGTGCCTCCCCATTGCCCTCACTTCTGAATCCATACCTCCCTGGACGCCTGTGTGGCCTCACTCCTGCCTGCCTCCCCAGCACACTCCTCTTGGCTCACTCTGCTTCAGCTTCATCATCCCCTCCCCGCTTGCTGTTTTTCAAAGCATCCAGGCTCATTCCTATCCCAGGCCCTTGCCTGAAGTCTCTTCCCCTGCTAACTTTTTTTTTTTTAATTTATTTATTTGGTTGCACCGGGTCCTTAGTTGCGGTTCACGGCCTCCTTAGTTGTGGCATGCGAACTCTGAGTTGTGGCATTGCATGTGGGATCTAGTTCCCTGACCAGGGATCGAACCCAGGCCCCCTGCACTGGGAGTGCGGAGTCTTAACCACTGCGCCACCAGGGAAGTCCCCCCTGCTAACTTTTTTGTCTTTCAGGTCACAGTTGAAGCATCACCCCCTGCAGGAAGCCCTCCGTGACCAGCCAAGTAAAATAAATATTCTCAGAGCACCCTCCTCTCATTGGTACAATTTCACATTTACTGTCCTGATTATTTGATCTGTGTCTGCCTCACCTGCCAGCCCCTTGAGGGCGGGACCAGGTCTGCCTTGCTCCCAGTTGTGCCCTCAGTGCCCAGCACTCAGTAGGTGCTCAGTAAATGTTTATGAGATGAGTAAGAGCCTCCCCTCCCACCCTCCAGCCACACTGATCTGTGTTCATGTCCTCATATATCTGATCCTCTTGAGTCTGACGCTTTGCATATTCTGTTCCTTCTGCTTGGCATACCCTTCCCTGCACTCCTCCCAGCTGACTTCTCTTTACCCTTCAGACTAAGCTTAGATGTCACTTCTTCCGAGCAGTCCTTCCTCACCCCCTACCTCCAAAAGCTGGGTCAGAAGCCTCCTCTGGGCCCCACGGCACCCTGATCTCTCTCCATCACAGCACAGATCACTCTGTGTTGTCTCCAGCTGGTATGAGTCTGTCTCTACCTTTAGCCTATGAGCACCTGCTTGCCCTTGGGCTGTGGCCCCAGTACAGGGCCTGGCACATGGTAGCTGCTAAATAAATGCTTGCTGAACAAGATGCTCAGACCCTCCCAGACCCATGTGATCCACCTGGGGTAGTGGGGAGGAGGGCCACAGCTGAGGACTGCTCTGGCACAGAACGTTCATGACAAAATGCAGAAATTATGAGTTTGTGTTTGCATCTCACTGATGACACAGGCTCAGGGAAGCACCACCGCTTGCTTGGCAGTGCACAGAACATTGGCCTCGAACCTAGCTTCCCTGAAGGCTGAGCCTCTCCCACCACATCAGCACGTATATGCATGCGCAGGACACACACACACACTCACAGGAGCACAACCCACCACTCCTGCCTTCCAGAGCCACGTGGTTCTCCCCCGAGATGGGCCCAAACCTAGTCTCTGTTTGTTCTTTCTTGAAGATGGAAAGTCATGAGTCACCGGGAGAGAGGGGAGGAGAAACTGAGGGCTGGAGGGTGGAGGCAAGGGGCCTCCTGGGTCACCTGGGAAAGCTCCAACCCTCCTGGGCTGTGGGGCCTTTCTGCCCCAGACACCAGCCAGGGCTGCTGGAGGGACAGGCTGGGGTGTTAGGCCAGGCTTGTTGATCAAGAAGCCTGTGGCCCCGGGAGGTCCAGGGACCAAGGCAAGAGAAAAGTCCAGAGAGGAAAGCGATTCACCCAAGGTCACTCAGCCTGGCCTCAAACCCAGGGCTCTAGGTCTGGCCTGATTTAGCTCCCCCTCCCATCCAAGGAGGGCCTGAGCCTCCTGGACCCTGCTCTTTCGTGGCACTGAGGCCCCTGTGACCCCACTAAGGCCCCTGTTTTTCTGTGTTTCTATTCTGTCTTTGTCTTTTTCTGCCCCCCTCCCTCAGTTTACATGAAACGGGAGCAGCCCCTCCCCCACCTCTACTCCCCCCTTCTCCACCTCATTCTTGTGTGGAAGAAACATCCTGTGCTCAGGCTCCCCAAGAGGCTTCCCTCTGACAGCAGGGGACACGTGAGTGTGTGCGTGTGTGTGTGTGTGTGTGTGTGTGTGGACACGCCACAGAGGAGGCTCCTCCCCCAGCACGGCAGACAGCCTGCCCTGGCCCTCTCATATACCCAACCCAAGCTCCCCTGAAGTGCTTGCCGTGGCCACAAACCCACAAACACCCGAGGACACTCCAGGGCCTGGAGGGCCCTTGGACACCGAACTGGATCAGAGCGAAGACAGTCGCGCCCAGCCACACACACGGGCACCACAAGGGGAGACACCCAAGCACGTAGGTAACTGGTATACACACACCTGAACACATCCCATCACCCACAGAGACACAGCCAGCTGTGGACACTCACACAACAGATAGGCACACACACGGGGGCGCAACTGCTCAGACTCACACGCATTCGGATGCAACGGCACTTGGGCACACCAGGTCACACAGACCCATAAGCAGTCATGGCACTACCACCCCGCAGCTCCACCCTCCTCTAAAGCGCCAGCCTCAGCCAAGAGGCAGA